CCTCCACCATCCCACCACCACTATTCCACCTCCACCATCCCACCACCACTATTCCACCTCCACCATCCCACCACCACTATTCCACCTCCACCATCGCTATTCCACCTCCATTATCCCACCATCCCACAACCACTATTCCACCTCCACCATTCCACCACCACTATTCCACCCCCACTATTCCACCTCCACCATCCCACCATCAGATTACCACTATTCCACCTTCACCATCCCACCACCACTATTCCACCTCCACCATCCCACCACCACTATTCCACCTCCACCATCCCACCACCACTATTCCACCTCCACCATTGCTATTCCACCTCCACCATCCCACCACCACCACTATTCCACCTCCACAATCCAGGGGGTACTCCCCTTTATTCACTGCCACCAAACAAGGTATATAAAATTGCACTCACTTTGGGACAGGGCATATGAAATCTTGTTCTCTCCTCTCTGGAACAGGGTATCTATTTTTGCAATACAGGAGCAGGGCATGGCTTTCAGCAATCTTACTCTGGAAAGCGATTTTACTCTGCTACAGGGTGAGGGTTTAGAGGGCTCAGCTGCACATCCCTACCCTAAATGGGCAAGAATACCTCCTCCCCCCACCCCCCGGCCTAAAGGCTTATGAGATATTCTGATTGCAATTGGTAATATTGCCACCTAGAAATCATTGTATAATTAGCATATATTTCAGAAGTTTTTGATATTTGGTGTAAATTATATATAAACATTTGAAAACACATTGTCTAGCTACCTGTGTCATATCTTTTGGCATATGGCTTGTGTGCTTTGCTAAAGCCTTCTTCAGCATTCTTGGTTTCTTTCCAGCTCAATAGTGACTTGTGATAATGTTGTCCTTTCCATGTAGATATACTTTGACACACTTGAGTTAGAAGCATTGCTTGTAGTTCACTGTAAATCGTAGACAATCGTTCTGCTTCTTTTGCAACCTCTAGCCATGATGAATTGCAAGAGCCATATTCTGCCCCCTTTGATATAAGATCAGTCCACTTTTTTGACCATCCTAAAAGCATCACATCAAATATATAAAATTAGTAGACAACCATCGTATAGTAAGGTTAACCAACAATTATGAAAGTACAGAGAAGTTGGAAAATATGTGGTAAAAATCAATTATACATTGAATTACAGTCATCATGCCCATACCTGCCCATTTAGCCCCAAACCATCATGCCACCTCTCCATCTAGCCACCAACCATCATGCCCCCTCCCCATCTAGCCCCCAACCATCATGCCCATACCTGCCCATTTAGCCCTCAACCATCATGCCTCCTCTCCATCTAGCCACCAACCATCAGGCCCTCTCTTCATCTAGCCCCCAACCATCATGCCCATACCCGCCCATTTAGCCCCCAACCAGCATGCAACCTCTCCATCTAGCCACCAACCATCATGCCTCCTCTCCATCTAGCCCCCAACYATCATGCCCCCTCTCCATCTAGCCCTCAACCATCATGCCTCCTCTCCATCTAGCCCCCAACCATCATGTCCCTTATCCATCTAGCCCCCAACCATCATGCCCCCTCTCCATCTAGCCCCCAACCATCATGCCCCCTATCTGTCTAGCCCCCAACCATCATGCCCCCTTCCGTCTAGCCCCTAACCATCATAACCCCTATCCATCTAGCCCCCAACCATCATGCCCCCT